AGTTGATGTATTACTTTATCTCATATATCGTGAATCTAACATATCGTGAATTTAGATATACTTCTTTATGGTAGACACATTTGATCTTGCTTAATACCGAGTATGTTACAAGTGTTGGCTTTACTATTTCGTGATCGATTAACATATACAACCTTCGTCGCTAAAAGAATACCCATTACTAATCTTTTGTCATATGGAGTATGTTACAAGTGTTGGCTTTATTATTCCCTATCGATTAACATATACAACCTTCGTCGCTAAAAAAATACCCGTTACTAATCTTTGGTCAATTCAAATAGTTTTTAATTTTTACATTACATATCCAACTTTTGTCAAGTTTGATTTTTTTGTTTACGACTTTAGCAAACTTTTAATTTACTTTCTAAATATGTAAATTTTATTTGCTAAAACTAATCTGAATTTCACGGTAATCGGTTAACTTTATCGTCAATTAAACTTCGTAAATCGAAACATATCTTTTTTAAGTGATAGGGGGTTAGTTAGAAAATAAGATTGTTTAATTGTTCTTTATTTAGAAAAGAAAGAAAATGTATTGGCCATATAAATCTGTAATACAAGAGTATTTTGTGCACAATGCGTAAATAAAAACAAGAAAAATATAGTGATTAATTTATTTAAATAATGCAGTTAAATTATTCATGGAGAGGCCTATAAATCTTTTAAAGATTACATGTAATTTAGTAATTACCCACATGCCCATTTTATGTTCTTGGTTTTACTCCAAAGCATGAAATAAAATGGTCTGAAGCTTCAAAAATATACTCTCTTTTCATTACTCTAAATGATGTATGAGAGTACTAGTATGAATAATGTGACGTGATGTATAATCCAGATTATGAGAGTCAAAATCTGTACTCTAAATGATGTTTGAAATTAGTAATCTTTAGTCAATTTATGAGTACCTAATTTTTAATTGGTTTACTAAAGAAATTGAAAAGTTAAAATTTATGGGCAAAGTTTGAAAATGAAAATTTTTAATGATTAGACTTTATAATAATTTAAAAGCAAATCAATTTCAATGGAGGCAATTTGGGCCCGGGCCCGGCCAACTCACAAAGTAAAAAATAACGCCACAAAGGAAAAAAAATTATTTGGGCCCGGGCCCGGCCAACTCACCATTTATGTAGCCCGTAGCCCGCCTAAATAAGCCACCGGTTTGGGCCCCAGTCTCGGTCCCAATCCCAGTCGACCAGGTTGGGCTGACCCGGGCCTGCACAATAACAGGTCGATTCCGGTCGGGTCTTGGGTCAGGCCGAACCGGCCCAATCCATCCCAAGAAACCACTGCTCAAAGTATCAATAGTAGTATCAACCATAACACAATCTTGTTTAAAATATTACAACCCGAAGTCTCATCCTAAATGTTAATCTCGTAAGAAAAGCTATTGCACAAATTGAAAGGATGGAAAACCAATAACAAACAACAATAACAACAAAAATACCTTAGTGCCGCAAAAGCTCTCACTTATGGTGGAGTAAGGACATCAAATGTATGCAATCTTATCTTTGTGCTAAAGTAGGGAGAGACTATTTTCGAATGACTCGGGATGAAAAGCGTGTTCAAAAATGTATTGACTTAGTAAAAAATTGCATGAAAAGTCGGCAATCAATTTAGTGAGACATTTTACTTTATTTTATTAGAAATGAGGGAAAGAAAGGATGAAAAGCCTTCCTGAGAGCATCTCCAATGCTACAATGTGCACGGTGCACATGTGGCATGTGAGATAACCAAATAAATATTAGTAAAAAATTATCTATCTCCTTATTTAAATGATTTTATACAATTTTGGTAAGTTTTTTTCTACATTGTCAAGGAGGCCGTCTAGATGCAGACATTGTAGTTGAAATTGTTAAAAAGGGTTTACCAAAATTGAATAAAATCATACAAATAAGGAGAAAGATAATTTATTTACCAATAATTATGTGATCATCTTTCATGCCACATGTGCACCTTTCACATTTTAGCATTCAACATGTTGTAAATAGTGAGAAGTATTTTATTGAAAGCATCCCGGCGTGTTAGCATTAAAAATAGCTATACCACCGACCACTACGTACGGCACTACTAAATCATTGTCTCCAAAACCTTTCGCTTTGGCAGAAATGATCATCGCCCAAATCCACCACGATTTCTTCCTAGGAAGAAAGCTCAAGTAGTCCGGTACCTAGGCAGGCTATGCGTCACTTAAATTAGGCTGTAGCATTAAAATTACTACGTACTTTCTTCCACTCCTTAAAGAAAAGGCATAATTTCCAACTATGTAAATATGTAATGTTCAACCTCTAGTTGCGTTAGGGTTTGCATGTTTCTTTCTCTTTATGGTGCTGCTCTGAGGTAGTGTGGATCCGGTTCCAGTTCGAGACCCGACTACACTCGAACTAGGCGGGTGAATCACCCAAATCAGAATTGGTTCTAGCTCCTCCAAATTGCATCTGCCTTATATGTTCCTTACGTCCCACAAAATTTGGTCAAATTGAGTTTTTGTCGTCAATGATAATGAATTATGTATTAATAAATTTCATTAGTCAAACTTGATCATCATTTATCCAAAAAAAAAATCAATATGACCAATTTTTGTGAGACTGATTTTTTGTAGTAATGAAATCGGATAGAACTGATTTCAGAACCGGACCAGCACTGATTTTCTAATTCAACAAGTATTGGTTTGGGACCTAAACTAGTCTTGCTCTAAGGCAGGGAGGATGATGGGATAGGAATTGGTTGGTCTAGAACCAGAACCTAACCTTACCAGCCCAAGTTCACCCCTATCGTGACTAAGGGTGGACTGGGTCGGGGACTCGGGGTAGCCTGGGCCTGGTTTTTCGGTACCAGCCCAGGCCCGATTTTCTAGTACCAGTACCGGCTCGATACTTGGACCGTGATTGAATAGAGCGGGTTTCAGGTTTGAGTTTTGGGGGGCGGCCCGGGTCAAACGGCTACAATTTTAAAAAAGATTAATTAATGGACGAGTACCGACCCAAGCCTGACCCATGACCAATATTGTTTGGACCCGGACCGGAACCGTGCCGAACAAAACTAGGTCAGTACTGGGCTTTAATTAATTAGAACCGGGACTAGGGTTGGATTCGGTTCGGGCCACCCGGCCCGTGGGGTGGGGCTGGGGACAACCCAAACGGCTATATAGTCGTTGGGTGGGGTAAAGGGGGGGTCCGGGGGGTTGGGTGGTGGGGTGGTGGTGGTGGGGGGTGGGGGGTAAAAAAACCTATAAATACTCATAATCTTAAACATTTTTTCATATCTCTTCTCCAATTCTTCCTAAATCCTATTCTTAACTCTCCACTCTCTAATTCTCTACTTTATAGTTTATACTTAAGAAGTTAAGATGGAAAATCAAGATGTCATTATACGGTATAATTTTGATAAGCAGAAGGACCCGAACGGGATGTGGTACGCAATTTGCAAATGGTGCAAGAAAAAATGTAGCATGGGAGTTTCAGGCGGATACGGGATGGCAATCAAGCATATGAAGTCATTTGACAAAGCTAAAGGATCGGGAGGTGCGGGAAGTTCCGATTGATTACAATTTCAAAATGTCTCTTAAAGTTAGTTTTAATTTTCAAATGTAGTTCCTATTTCATTTCAAATAAATGCACTTGAAGTTTGTTTTTAATAATCGTATAAAACTATAAACTATAAAATATAAATTATAACAAAAAAAATTAACCGGCCCGGCCCGAACCGGACCCGACCCGTGACCCGGGCGGGTGGCCCGGCCCGAACCGGACCCGTCCAACCCTCAGGCCGGTCCCGGGCCCATGTCATTCAAACCGGCGGCCGGCCCGGGCCCGACCCGGCCCGAGTCCATCACTAACCGGGACCAGCCAGGACCAAGCCCAAGCCTGACTCGGACCGGCCCGGTTCCACCCCTAATCGTGACCGAGGATTTGATTTTGTTTGGATTTTCCTCTTTCCAATATTTCCATTCGGGACTAGAGACTAGGTTTAACCATGGTAAATATCAGGCCTTTGGTAGTTTGGTAGATCTTATGCAAGACTGACAAAGAGGACTATAACTTGGTTTTTTAAGACTATAGTGTTGGGTGAAACTTCAACGACGAAGTCTTTTAGTTTTGCCAGAAAAGATGTTTTCTGGACGGGATAGCCAGTAAGCATCCTATAGATTTAGGGATCTTCAGGTAATAGGTAAACAATAGACGGTGACATCGATACAAGACACATCTATATCACAGGAGTAACTTCAGCTAAGTGGGATCAAGAATGACACTGCCACTCAAGTGTGAGGTGGTCTATTAAGAAGAATCATGGTCTTTATCCTCTTTGTTGTTTTGCAAGTCTTTATCTTTGTTGGTTTTCTGTTTTCCTACATTTTGTTTCTCCATTATTGTTTGGAAGCGGATTATATAGGGTACTAGATTAGTTGGTTGTTTTAATTTGGTCAAGTTATACGGAGTAATTTAGTTCTTGATGCTCTGAATAATACAAGCATCCTTGGAGAGAAAAAGAATCATAATATAGTACATCAAGATCATTAGGCAGCTACTTAATTTAGTAGTCTCCCTTCAGAAATGTTAATCATCACATACTTACTCTACAAAAGAATAGGAATAGTGTCTCGTGCATGAAGAAGACTTGAAATTACGTCCCATAAATAAGAGAGCTTATCAAGGAATATGTGATCTTGTCTCTTACTGGTTAATGGTTAGTGTGGATGATTTAGCACTACAATAGAGAGCTTATCAAGATATAAGATGACTTAGAATGTTATACAAGCGCCCACAAGGTTCGTTGTGTAGCTACCGAGTACCGGCTAGGCAAATAATGTGAGCGATATATAACAAACGTCAAGGGAATATATCTTACTTAAATAATGATTTAAGTAATGAATTAATTATAAAGTAATAGATCTTATATAAGGGAATATATGAGTGAGCCAAGGGCCACAGTAATATAAAAACAGGAAGATATATAAAGTAATAAACTATGCAATACTTTGGGGGCCACAGTACTATGTTTTAGAGAAGGTAGTTGGCACGTATATTAAGAAAATATTAAATTGAATTTGTAACAGTTAGAGTGATTGGGGGTCACCAAAAATGAAACACTTTGTGAGCCACCAAGCGTGAGTATGGATTTATTAGAAGATTCATAACTCACGACGCTGTGGAGAAACGAGTCAAAAACAAGAAGAATGCTTCACTGGGACAAAATCTTACATCTAATAGAGAAACAGAAAGGTGTACGCTGAGGCATTGATGCATGCTTTTCAAAATTTTGTTAAGAATAACATTAGTGAAGTCACCAGCCAAGAAGAAGTAGCTTTAAAAGAGCCATTCTGATGTAAAGCCCATTCTTGGCTTGCCTAAAGTACGCAGCCCTTGCATCTCCATCTACATCTACAGTTATCTACACACCACAATTTAAATTGGTGAAGTTAACAAGCAAATTGAAATACGTTTTATTGTTTAAAAAGTACATATACATGTTTGGAATAACAGCCTAACCTCATCAAGCCTTGGCAGAGGATGCATGACAATGGCATGCCTCTGTATTGCCCTCAAAACACCTGGATCCACAATATACATCCCTCGGGCTTCTTCATATAAATCAGTTCGCTCCCCAAATCTTTCTCGTTGGATACGGGTTTGATACAGAACGTCACACTTGGAAGCCACATCCATTAAGTCGGCACTTTCTTCCCAGTCAACTCCTTCAGATGTAAGATATGCCTTTATGTCATCCTGAAAAAAATAAATGAATGCATGGGATGTTTCTCTTATCACAAAAAGGTATGTTTGACCCCTGAAAATGCTAGCGAAAGAAATAGGGTAGAAAATGTAAAAGTTTGAAAAGAAGGGAAAATCGGGCTCTCAATTAATCAATCAATATAAGATATGTTTTAAGATCATTTTAATTTAGGATGTTTTTACTTGGACTGTTTTTACTAATTAATGTTCTCTTATCACTAAACTGTTTGCGCTTCTTTGTACTTGCAATTTTGGACGGGATTTTGCAGCAGTCAGTCCATGCAATTTTGGACGGGATTTTTACTATGGGTCATCCGGAAACAGTCTCTTTGTACTTTAGTACAGGGGTAAGACTGCGTACATCCGACCCCCCCTTACCCCACCGTAGGTGGGAGCCTTTGCGGCACTGGGGTAAATGAAAATGATATGAAAATGATTTACCAGGCCAGATTAGACTAGACTTGAACAAACAAAACCAGACCAGACTTGGACAGATAAAATACACAAAGACCAAACATGTACCAGACTAGACCAGACCAGTTCAGAAAAGACCAGACTTAAACATACCAGACTTGGACAGATAAAATACACAAAGATTAAATATTTACAAGACCAGACCAGTTCAGACTAGACAAGACCAGACTTAAACAGACCAAACCAGACCAATTTAAACAGACTAGGCCAGAAAATTTCAGTCCAATTAAAAACTTCCTTAACATTTTTTATGTAATATTTCAAGATCAATCAATGTTCTCAATCTAACTTGGTTTATGTCATATTTTCAATGTTTTTAATCAAAACATAAAACTATTTTGTCTAGTTTTATGTAGAAAGTGTTGAAGAAACATTTGTTCCACCAAAAACATTTCCCCACTTTCTACAATTTTCCTTATTCCAAACAAACCTAAATTGTGTCTGACCTGTCCACTAAAGAAACAAGAGCAAGTAAGAAGTCACAAAACTACATATAGGAATATTAATTGCATAAATACATTCAATAATATTATTAAGTGATTATCAAGAAGCATAAAGCAGTTTTTTTACACCACATATTGGCATCATCCTACCTTCATTTTGACCACATCGGGGGAGACAAAGTAAATCTTCACATCCTGGTATTTGGTGAGAAGATAAGCCAGTGACCTAACTGTCCTTCCATTAGCAAGATCTCCAACGAGAGCAACTTTTATCCCATCAAGTTTTCCTATTTCTCTTTGGATGGTGTATACATCCAGTAGAGCCTGCTTGTGCAAAAAATAACTGCTTCAAAACTTTCTACTATAAGAATACAGAAACCATGCATAATGACTTGTTATCTTCTAAAAAAGAAGGTGATCTGATCTGAATCTTTCTGGTACAGTTTGATCTGAACCTTTCCTGCCAGATCTGAAGCTTTGTGCTTTGGTCTCTGGTTTTTTGTCTGGTCTAAGACTAAGAAGTAAGAAAAAGATACAAGGTAACCAGAACAACACATATGAATTGCATCTGTCTGGAAGTCAGTTGTCACGGACTTGTTCCCAAAGATTGTGACATGGAGTTCTAGCTTATAGCCTTTAAAGCAGAATGAGTATCTTATGAGTTTTAATTTTCTTAATTGGTAGAATTGATTGTTACAAAACGTTTTTTCAATTCAACGGATTCAGTCATTTTCTTCATCCACATAACCTCAAGCGGGGCCTTAAAATAGCATGTTCACTTTCTAGAAAAACATAACTGGTTTTTAATATTATTAGTTTATTACTACCCAAATGCACCTCCACGCATGAGAGATCCAACCTAAAGTCCATAGGTTCAAAATAAAAACAAAAGGAATCACATTCAACGATTCTCTGTGAATTAACAAAGACATACACTCCCTCCGTCCCTAATAACTTTGCCAAGTTTGACCGGCACGGGAATTAATAAAGTAAAAACTGTGTGGTTGAGGTTCGTGCAGAGGAGAGAGAACTAACTGAAACCACAAATTCTTTACTTAAAAGGGAAAATGGCAAAGTTAATGGGACATCCAAAAAGGGAAAGTTGGCAAAGTTATAAGGGACGGAGGGAGTAAAATATTTCTTCTTGTAAGTTCATAACCGGAGCTACAGACTTATCAAAAGCTCATTTTAACAGGCCAATAAGATCTTCTTACTCAGGCAGGTGTTTAGGTTGTTGTATTAGAGTTTATATAAGTGAAGGTTTCTAATTGAGCAAGTGTCTGCAGTTGTTAACCACAACAAAATTATAACAGAGATAGAATACATGGAAAACCACAGGACACATGGCATTTGTCTCTATGCTCTGGTACAATGAAGCATAATATTAGACCTTAAGTCAGACTCCCTCCGTCTAAGAGGCATATCATTTCAGAAGAAAAAAAACATATATTTATTTTGTTCCACTCGTTTTGGTAATGTTATTGGCAAAGAAAAAGCATCTATCTTTTGCTCCACACGTTTTGGTAATGCTATTGGCAAAAAAAAGCATCTATCTTTTGCTCCACTCATTCTCAACCATTTAAAGAAATGAGAAAATAAAAATGGGATGCAACAAAATAAAAAATAGAGTAATATTTTGGGATGGAGTAGTTCCATATTTCATTATGTTTAGTCAAGTTGAAGGTACGGTCTTGCATGAAAGAAAATAAGAAATGTATCCCAGAAATCCTCATAGATTTAATAATGTAGTGTAATATAATGCATGCAAACATTATATTCAAAGTTGGGACTCCCCTAAGTGAATAGAAAAGTATACTTCACATCATGAGAAATGCAACCTGAGTTGGGTGTTGACCAGGACCATCTCCTGCATTAATAATGGGAATGCTGGCTGTGGCTGCTGCTCTTCTGGCAGCACCACTTTCAAAGTGTCTCATGACGATTATATCAGAGTAGCCTTCAACCGTTCTTATTGTATCTGCATATTAATTAAAACAAAACATCACAACTATAGGCCTATAAAAATTTCTTGTAAAACCATCAAAATTATTATCCACAACTATCTACCTTCAAGTGTTTCTCCTTTTGCTGCAGATGAAAACTCACGTGCATTTTCTGTTGTCAGAACTTCCCCACCAAGACGTTTCATGGCAGACTCAAATGAAAGCCTAGTCCTCGTAGAAGGTTCATAGAAAAGAGTCGCCATCAGATACCCCTTAAGCATCTGGCTTTCAGGTGATCCTTTCTCAACATCTTCCATTTCACGTCCCACTTCAAATATAGCATCAAGTGTACTTCTATTGAATTGTTGAGCTTCAATTACATCATCAAGAATAAACTTGTTTCCCTTGGTGAACAAAGTTTTGCTTTCAACTGCTACCGCTCTGCAATGGGAGCTGCTATTCCTTTGCAGACTCCTTGCAAGAAGTTGGTTTTTTACCCATTTCTCATTAGAAGTTAAAAGTGAACTTTGCACCTTGGATATAGATTTCATGTTACGTCTGTGGTTGGAGGAGAGATTGAGATGGTAGCTGAACATAACTTCATTATGACAGCCACTTGTAGAAAATGTAGCCGAAGAAGCCATGAAGATATATGGAATCTGCCCAACTGTATGAAACAAAACCACAAAGTAAAATCTTTGCAATTTTAATTGTTCAAACTCAAATGCTTTGTGCATTTAGACTTTGCACAGACATGAAAAAATTATGAAACAATTTCGAATAATTCAGAATCTCCCTTTGAACAAGTTTTTCATATGAGAGTTTTCAAAAATCCATCACACTTACATACAGACACTCCTACACATACGAGCTCGAAGCGAAGAGCAAGTGGCTGAGTAATTTCACTCAATAGGAAGTGGGTATTATCAGTAATGAAAAATTCACATATTGGTGTGTGTGGTATAAAGAAAAGAGAAACCTGGGTAAATCTCAAGATGTTGAGCGCTAAATGTAGCTTAGAGTCTTAGACGAGTCAGACCAAATTCAATTGTCGCTGCTATCAGTGGCGGATCTAGCACTTGTATTTTGGGTGTTCGGAATTAATTTTATAGTAATCTTAAGAACAATAATCTTGTGTGATTCATTGATACAATCATTCCACAATTGTACATATGTCAACAAAAAACTACTAGTCTACTACATTGAGTAAAATGCAAGACATAATAAAGTATAAGAAAATTACTGGGCAGAATAGAATTTAGAATTTTTCTCAATAATCATTGCTACTAACACAAAAAAATTAAGCAAACAGCACTGCATCTTTGCACACCCAAACATTTACTTCCTACACTCAAAGTGGTCCAAACATTTGTCTATTTAACAAATTAAACAAACAACACTAGTTGTTAATCCTCATAAGGCCATCACATTTCAGATGTCAACCAAAGAGTTTCTGCAAGTTTTTTTTTCTCAAATCGGATCCTTGACAGCTGGCATAAATTAATACATAAATTAACTCCCATCATTTTTCCTATTCATTATAAAATCTCATTTTCTTTATAATTTTATACACTGATTCCTCTTACCTCTTCTTTTTCCGGGCTAACAGAGTTGAAATTTTGCAACATTTAATTTCTGCGAATTGACTATACTTTTGCTCAAACGAGAATAAAAAAAATGCAGCAGTGGCAAAACGATTCCCAATGACACAAAATAGGGCGGTCGTATTTAGAAAAGGACGTCATTAGAAAGTAGCACCCACAAAAAAAACATACACATCCTTATAAAAACGCAAACAGCCATACAAAATAAGCGAAAAGCAATGAAATTTTCAGATTTTTTTAAAAACGGCTAAAGCCATCCTTGCTAAAACCCTACGAAAGGGTAATTAATCACTAACCCAGAAGAAGACCATAGGCTGAAAAATCAAGAAAGGAGTTAAGAACCTGGTTCTTTAATTCGTCTTCAAAAAGGGGAGAGACCGAGAGAACCAGAGAGCTTGGCACCTTCGCAGTTGGGCTGGAGCGAGGTCGCTTTGAATCAGGAGCCGGGTCGGAGATTAGCGACGAGTGGCGACTAGCTAGGTGGAGCGAGCGGCTAGGGCTGCTGGGCTTGGCATGAAGCTAACTCGTGAGTGTCTGGAAATGGGGGCTGAATTGAATCGCAGGTGGGGTTGAAATGGGCCCGGCCCAAACAACGGTATCTCATTTCTATAACTACATTTAGAAAAAATTAAAGAGTCATTCTATAGGGACCCCATTTTGGGTATCCCATTTTTACCTTCTATAGAATGACTCTTTAATTTTTTCTAAATGTAGTTATAGATATGAGTTGCCGTTGTTTGGGCCGGGCCCATTTCAACCCCACCTGCGATTCAATTCAGCCCCCATTTCCAGACACTCACGAGTTAGCTTCATGCCAAGCCCAGCAGCCCTAGCCACTCGCTCCACCTAGCCAGTCGCCACTCGTCGCTAATCTCCGACCCTCCGACCCGGCTCCAGATTCAAAGCGACCTCGCTCCAGCCCAACTGCAAGGTGCCAAGCCGACTGAGTAGTGACATGTCTCTGATTCTCTCGGTCTCTCCCCTTTTTGAAGACGAATTAAAGAACCAGGTTCTTAACTCCTTTCTTGATTTCTCGGCCTATGGTCTTCTTCTGGGTTAGTGATTAATTACCCTTTCGTAGGGTTTTAGCAAGGATGGCTTTAGCCGTTTTTTAAAAAATCTGAAAATTTCATTGCTTTTAGCTTATTTTGTATGGCTGTTTGCGGTTTTATAAGGATGTGTATGTTTTTTTTGTGGGTGCTACTTTCTAATGACGCCCTTTTCTAAATAAGACCGCCCTATTTTTTGTCATTGGGAATCGTTTTGCCACTGCTGCATTTTTTTTATTCTCGTTTGAGCAAGTGTAGTCAATTCGCAGAAATTAAATGTTGCAAAATTTCAACTCTGTTAACCCGGAAAAAGAAGAGGTAAGAGGAATCAGTGTATAAAATTATAAAGAAAACGAGATTTTAAAATTAATAGGAAAAATGATGGGAGTTAATTTATGTATTAATTTATGCCAGCTGTCAAGGATCCGATTTGAAAAAAAAAACTTGCAGAAACTCTATGGTTGACATCTGAAATGTGTGGCCTTATGAGGTTTAACAACTAGTGTTGTTTGTTTAATTTGTTAAATAGACAAATGTTTGGACCACTTTGAGTGTAGGAAGTAAATGTTTGGGTGTGCAAAGATGCAGTGCTGTTTGCTTAATTTTTTTGTGTTGGTAGCAATGATTATTGAGAAAAATTAATTTTTTCTGCCCAGTAATTTTTTTATACTTTATAATGTCTTGCATTTTACTCAATGTAGTAGACTAGTAGTTTTTTGTTGACATATGTACAATTGTGGAATGATTGTATCAATGAATCACACAAGATTATTGTTCTTAAGATTACTATAAAATTAATTCCGAACACCCAACATACAAGTGCTAGATCCGCCACCGATGACTGAAACAGATTGAGCATATCAGGCGACAGAGATCCAAATGTAGACCCTATTGCAGGCATGGCACCATAACCGGAGTTAGAGTGATAACCCAGACCACCCATGTGCGGAACCTGAGGAGTCTGCTCAACATGCATAATGTACGGCCGAGGATGAGGTTGAGGTGGAGGCTGATATCCAGCAAGGATCCGTTCCATCGCTTCCAGCCGGACCCGCGTTTCTTCATCATTCTTTCATTGTTGTTCAAATGCACGCTGCTGCTCCTCCAATTCTCGCAGCAATTGGGCAATGCGTGGATCCTCTCCTCGTCTAGATTGAGAAGATGATGAAGCTATGCTGCCGCTGCGATCGTACAAAATACGTTGCCCCCGAGGCATGGAAGCCGACCCTTGTACACCCATGTTGCCTCAAGGATGGCATCATCTTCCACATCAGAACCGATGTCATCTTCTTGAGTCAAGCCAAGTTCCGCCCGCTTCTTTTCAACATTTGCGTTATACTTTGTCTACAAACATTTAAAAAAAATTATTCAATGATATTTACTTCAATTTGAAATAATAGTATTGATTTTGAAATAATATTATGGATGTTACATACTTCGATTTCAGCAAGGCGGGGTGGTAGATTGGCTGGCGACTCAACACCGCTCTTCGTCCAACAATGTTTGATTACACTGAGGATAGGGACCCTTTTCCTTTGAGGCCCCGCCTACAAGGTTAGAAAAAGGTTTAAATAAATTTAAAAAAATAAAAGATTAAAATGGTGTAGGTTTATTTGAATAAGACTTACCAGAGCTTCTTTATGTTTACTCTGGGGTTTGCGGCCTCCGTGCCATTGTGTCGTCATGGCCTTCTCGAACATCCGATTTTTCTTCCCGGCTTCGCTTCTGGCCAAGAAAGTCGGATCCGAAGACTAGTGGCGGACGAGGTTTTCCCATACCTCATCCGAACACCATTGAGGCCTTACCCCACTGGCTCGAGCACGCCTAAAAGTGGGGCGAAGCCAATTTGAAACTCTGGCATTGTACGCCCTTAGAATAGCGGGGCCTTGTTCTTCAGTCCAGCGAAACCGGACCTTTATTAAAAAAATAAATTAACTTATCATTTGTCAAATTTTATGTTACATCAATGACGAAAAATTGATTTTTTTACCTTGAACAAGTTCCACCAAAGTTCACGGACCTTGGGATCAACATCCGTGTACGTCGCCCAGTTGCCAAGAAAGTGTCCACCAATTATGATTTTGATTTGGTTGAGCACATCTTGATCGCTTCAAAAAATTAATATTTTTTTATAGTTCATTAAAAAAATTATTTAATTATTTGAAATTAGATAAAATTCATAGTTACTTACTTAGCAACCATGTGAGGTGTCACCCATTCGGAATCTTCATTGTTGCGCTCGGTTTGGGTTAAGGGCGCATAGTTCGGGCGAGCACGGGATGTGGATTGTTCATTGCTCATCTAAAATAATTGATTAATGAGGAGTATTAATTTACATTTTCAAATAATTGTGTAAATATAATAGAAGATCAAATTTTGATTTAAATAAAGGCAGTTTTTGAAAGGCCGTTTTTGAAAGGCCGTTTTTGAAAGGCCGTTTTTGAAAGGCCGTTTTTGAAAGGCCGTTTTTGAAAGGCCGTTTTTGAAAGGCCGTTTTTGAAAGGCAGTTTTTGAAAGCACTGTTTATATGTGTTTTTTCATAGTGTATATTTTATATTAAATTTGAGAAAACTATTTTTTAATGTCTAACTTATTATTTGATAATTATTAACATGTTAAACTTTTTTGGAAGTTTGACATGAGGGGGTATATTTTTTAATTACTTCGGGAAAACTTTTTAATTAAAACGATTTATTTTAACAAACACTGTTTTTTCATAGTGTTTATTTTATATTAAATTTGAGAAAACTGTTTTTTAATGTCTAATTTAATATTTTATAATTATTGAGATGTTAAACTTTTTTGGAAGTTTGACATGAGGGGGTGTTTTTTCATGTCTAACTTAATATTTAATAATTAACATGTTAAACGTTTTTGGAGGTTTAACACGAGGGGGTATTTCTTTAATTATTTGGGAATATAATGTAAAGAGGCATACATATTAAACAAACTAACTCATGTTCTTTAATTCATAAGTCCGAAATTAAAAAAGATATTATTTAATCATGCATGTTTAACTTATAATGAAATTTTATGTAGCCATACATATTAATTAAACTTATATACAACCAATATAAGCATGCCAATTAATCATATATACAAACTAAATCATGTTATATTGAGCATATAGAACATGTAATAAACTGAATCATGCCAATTATATTGAGCATAAAGAACATGTAATAAAACTTGTACACAACAAATAAAGGCATGCCAATTAAACATATATACAAACTAAATCATGTTATCTTGAGCATATAGAACATATTAACATGTATTTCGAAAAACGTGTGCTAAACATGTATTTCAAAAAAACGTGTGTTTCTCATATTAATTGATAACATGCATACAGAAAACAAGTATTTCGAAAACTAAATTATATTTCAATTCAAAAATTAAAGCAATATTATAAACTAAATGAAATTATATTTCGAAATCATATTACTCCACATGCATCAATTTGAGATACTAACTAAAATCAAATGACAATCAATTTGAGCATATTAACCAAATCATATTAAACAATTTGAGAATAATGGGAACACACTTACCGTAACATACATTTTTAAAATAAAAATCAAATACTACAAATAAGAATTAAAGGTAAATCAAAATTAGAATACATAACCTTTATGAAAAAAGAAGGAGGAGGCCGACAGTGGCAGCAGCAGACGGTAGCGACTAACGGCGGCGGCGAACGGCGGCAGCGAACGGTTGAAAGCAGAGTTGGAGTTGAGACCGGTGGAGTGTAGAGGGAGATATGAAGGATTTAGGGTTTTGGCCTGAAAGGAATGCAGAAAGAAAAATCAGCTAAGTGATGATTTTATATGAAGGACTAGTCACGGACCTAGTCACGGATAGTCCGTGACTAGCCGTCGTAAATTACGAAGCCAGACGCGCGGCAGACGAGGTGTCAGGGCCGCCTTTGACCGCCTTAGTCACGGACGGTCCGTGACTCGGTCCGTGACTAAGTCAAAAAATTTGAATTCGTCACGGACCTAGTCACGGACCTGTACGATTTTTGAATTATTCACGGATCTAGTCACGGACGGTCCGTGACTAAATACTTTCCATCCGTTCCCCACGCGCAGCCCGGAATCAGACGACAGTGGAATAGATCCGTGAAAAACGGATGGAATTTATTCAAAACACTGTTTTTTCAAAAACTGCCTTTTCAAAAACTGCCTTTCAAAAACGACCTTTTCAAAAACGGCCTTTATTTAAATCAAAATTTGATCTTCTATTATATTTACACAATTATTTGAAAATGTAAATTAATACTCCTCATTAATCAATTATTTTAGATGAGCAATGAACAATCCACATCCCGTGCTCGCCCGAACTATGCGCCCTTAACCCAAACCGAGCGCAA